TCTGAAAGAAGAAAGTCATATACACCTAGGATGCCTCGGGGGTGAGTAAAACACAGCCTCATTTTCATTTTTGGGTGAACTAACCATTTAATTGTTGTATGAATCATGCCACAATGCAAAAACTCAAAATAGTCCCATACTAGGCTGTATTTTCTTTTTGATTTTAGGGTGACAAGTGATCTGGACATTCACCAAAAGATGCTTTGTTTATAGGCTTCAGAAATTAAGTAATTAATGCCCCTCACCATTCGTTCCATTCTCATTCCGTTACTGAACGCCAGCTGTCTGAGCACATCGATGTCTGGAAGACCCCAGTCCGGATTCCTGATTGACAGTAGGTGTAAAACAGGGCAAGACAGACAGTAGGTTTGTAAGCTGAAAAAATGTCTACATATTTCATCTTTGATAATAAATATCAATATATTGATTCTTGAAATAAAAAAAAAAGTGTCAGTTTGAAAACCCACATCTGGCGTAATGTCTGGTCCAACTGTTCATTGCAGATTGGGGTGATGGTTCCATTGATAGCATACGGCTGAGACACATTTCATTCCACGAGGTTATGATGTTTATAGTGAGATTTATGTTTAATGTGGTTATGACTATATGTTGTTTATCTAAAACATCTAAAACATCATATGAAAATGATACAATAGTCAAACTCACTCCATAAGTCATTAATAGGCCGTTCTGTTTCAGTATCTGCCCAGATCCTTTAAACACACCCTGTGGATACAAGACTACATTAATGCATTTTTGAACTGGATTTGAATACATACGTTAGTTCAAATTTTAAAGGTTTTTGAGAGAAATTAATACTTTTATTCAGCAAGGATACACTGACTTGATAAAAAATTACAGTACATTTTTCAATTTTACGTGTGTGTGTGTGTGTGTGTGTGTAAAAAAGTTGTAAGTCAATATTGCATATATATTGGTGCCATACCTCTGCAGTGCTGAAGGGGCTGTACTGAAGCAGGTTGATTGCCATAATAATGTCACAGGAGCTTCGTGGAAGTCCTGCCCATTTCTCCCAGGGTTGACTGGCATCCAGATACACCGGCTCCAGCACTGTTTTTGCTTTAGTGGCCCCTATATAAGCTCTGATACTGCAACAGAGACGTTAACATTACAAACCCTGATAATTCTGTGATATATGTCTCATAATGGCATTTGTAATTAGTATCACAAAAAGAACCTGTGTGCCATACCTGTTTCATGCTTCCTCCTTGATGTCTGATGGCTGCCACGTGACAAAGGGCATTTCTTGAGCAACTGGAGTAATGATGCTGAAAATTCAGCTTTGATTACAGGAATAAATTACATTTTAAAATATATAAAATCTTGCAATTTTACATTTTAATATATATGTATAAAATAATTCATATGAATTTCCCATCATAAATGCAGCTTTGGTGAGCATAAAAGAAAGGGCATTAAAAAAAATGTAGTTATATAGTTACTTATTTTTCATAGTGCAAGTCTTTTTTGATAGTCTGAGATATATATATATATATGTGTGTGTGTTTGTAAGTCAATATTGCATATATATTGGTGCCATACCTCTGCAGTGCTGAAGGGGCTGTACTGAAGCAGGTTGATTGCCATAATAATGTCACAGGAGCTTCGTGGAAGTCCTGCCCATTTCTCCCAGGGTTGACTGGCATCCAGATACACCGGCTCCAGCACTGTTTTTGCTTTAGTGGCCCCTATATAAGCTCTGATACTGCAACAGAGACGTTAACATTACAAACCCTGATAATTCTGTGATATATGTCTCATAATGGCATTTGTAATTAGTATCACAAAAAGAACCTGTGTGCCATACCTGTTTCATGCTTCCTCCTTGATGTCTGATGGCTGCCACGTGACAAAGGGCATTTCTTGAGCGAAGTGCACCACATGCTGCCCTGTGCCTGATCCCAACTCAAGACCAAACAGCTCACGGTGAGACTGATCCTCCAGTAGCTCCCAGAGCACCGACAGCAAACCGTCCTGACTGCGCTCAGCTGCAGGAGAGAGCAGCATGATCTGCAAAAGAGAGGAACAGTTAATTGACTTTTGCTAAATGCTGAACATGTTTATTTCTAAATGCCAGGACCATACATGTTACATATGTTGCTGATACTTACGCTGCACTGTTCGGTGGATGTGGAAGTGCTCAGTGATGGCTGATGAACCGACAGATGGATCAGGAGATTACCTGGATAAGAGGCTTCTGTCTGCTCCTCCCCTTCAAGTCCTGCATGAGAACTAATGTTTTTGGCTCAATATAACTGTATTAACAAAGAAACAAACAGAGCATGCAAATGACCTTTATCTTGGAAATTTTATGTAGTGGCATAATATTTGATTTTATTTGATTATTGTTATTCCTTATAATACAGCACTCTGAAAGTCTTGATTCTGATTAAACCATTGTTTCATTTGGCCATAAAGCACATCAGTATAACAAATAAATACATTTTGAGCTGTAGCCAAACAAGTGAACTAAACTGTATCAGAAAATCGAAAAATGACATCCATAGGTTTTTTTCTTTTTCTGTGGGTTAATCGGTTTTCTGTGGGTTTATATCAAATGGTCCAACATTGGGTGCTGGACCATTGATTGACTGATTGATTGATTTGCTGAGTGATTACCTCTATGTGTTGTTACAAAACCACTGCAGTATTTTGTTTTAATTATTTTATTTTATTTGGTTTAAGCACAGTGGCCATTTTGGTCAGATTAGAATGGTCTGAAATTGTTCGACCTTTAGGGTTTATAATAGGAAGGATTTGAATCTCTGTCCTACTTTTTAGGCAGCACCTAAGTATTGTATACATGCAGAATATTACATTTTATTTATTTTTTATATTTTTTATTTTATTTTAAAGCAACACATTATTTATTTCAGGTTGATTATCTCTTGAGGGACCAGATAAGACCCTTACATTTTCACAGATTGCCCTACTGGTTTGGTGATAGATAGATAGATAGATAGATAGATAGATAGACAGACAGACAGACA